AGATATTGATCCTTGGCCTGCAATGGAGGAAAAAGAACCATCTGCAAGTCTCACACTATCCCTTCCTGACAAAAGGCTATAAGACTGAAACAAGTTTGGCTTACCGGTCATGTGGTTGGAGGCCCCTGAGTCAATGATCCAAGGGGAATCCATGGATGTGACATGGAATGTAGAAGCCGTATTACCTGAAGTAGATGCAAATGAAGTAGAGGGAGTACCAGTGACTGAGTTGTCCATTTGTCGCAAAGCCCTACCATAAGATTCCAAGTGCTCTCTGAAGGAATTTGTTATATCTTCCTTGGGGACAGACTTATTAGGGTGATCCCGGGTACTACCGGCAACCTGAGTATCTTGGGTTGCCACATGTGTTGTGTTCATTTTCTTCTGACCTTGGCCTTTACCCTGCTCTTGATTCTTTGCTGCCCACTTGGGTTTCCCGTGGATGTCCCAACAAGTGTCACGTGTATGTTGTGAACGCCGACAGTGGGTACAAAACAACTTATCTTTAGCATTAGTCTTCTTAGTGTCACTTTTCTTTCCCGTGGAGTTATTACAGCCAAAGCAACTTGTTGCTCCCCCTCAACTATAACCATTACATTTCGCCTACTTTCTTCCGATTGAACAAGGGAGCATACCTCGTGAACCATAGGCAACTCTTTGCTTCCTAGGATCTGTACCCTCAACGGTTCATATGCAAGGTTCAGTCCCAACAAGAAAGCAAATACACGTTGCTGAGAGACCAGCTTCCTGTAGGCCTTAGCATCATCATTATGTTTCCACTTTATAGTCTAATAATGATCCACTTCTTTCCATATGGAGGTAAGGGCTGAATAATATGAAGACAAACTACGGTTTCCCTGTTTACATGTTGAAGATTCAGCTTGTAACTGGTAAACCTTGCCATAATGCCTTTGCTCATAATAGGTAGTTCTGGCCTGTTCCCAAATCTCACTAGCGGCATCTGCCCACATAAAGTTCTTCTTCACATCAGGTTCCATGACTGCAAGCAGCCAAGACATCACCATACTGTTTTCTTGGTCCCACCTATCATGTTCAACTGTCTCACCCTTGGGTTCTTTCACCCTTCCATTAATGTAACCAGCTTTACCCCTTGCCGTTACATAGAGTTTTACGCTCTTAGCCCACTCCAGGTAGTTCAGACTGTTTAAAAGGGTAATTGGCATGGGAAAAACCATGTTTTCACCTCCCATACC